TCAACTATAGTACAATAAATACACCTTTACACCCATTAACATTCATCCCAACTGTCAAAACCCCTACTCAGAATTCCCTTACGAGACGTTCCAATTCTTCTTTTGACTCCCAAACATCTATACATCATCTCGACGCGTCATCACCTCTGAATTCCGATCATTGTGGACAAGTATTTTCATATTTTCTCGTCCATATTAGGGGGTTGGGGGGAGACCTTGCCCCCTTGACTTGCTTATGCGAGGACATCTCAAGGTATGGTAGGCTGGCTCTCTCTCTCTCTCTCTCTCTCGTACACACCAGCAGATAGATAAAAAATCGACATATAAATTTGTTAATAATTCGAATTTAAGTCAACAAAAAGATAACGATTTACGGGTCATTGCTCTGAAGGTCTAACCAGAGACTATAAGCACATCATATGATAGACGCTTGTGTAAAGAAACGTAACCAGGCCTAGATCCAGGAAGACCTTATTTCACTAACCTAACCTAACTTAACTTAACCTAACCTCACCTAACCTTCGGGTATTAGCTACTCAGAACACAACATAATGTTTCCAAAACCTTACCTTTCCACACTCACGCCACACTAGCAATAAACACCACTAAACACAACCTTCCAGCCACACACACACACACACACACACACACACACACACACACACACACAGTCACTCTCTCCAGGCAAAAACCTTCCTAATTCAAGCTGAGGTCATCTTAAGTGTACTGGATTATCAAAATTCACGTTGCTCTCCTCCTCTTCTTCTACTCCTCCTCCTCCTCCTCCTTCTCATTCTTCTCCTTCTTCTCCTCCTCCTCCATCCTTCTACAATAATCCCCAACAGTGAAGTCCTCTGGGGTTATGGTCATCGAAGTAGTGGGTTTTGTCTGTCTTCCGTCATTAAAACTAGTACCCTACTTTTCCAACAACAAAAATACTAACTTCCACACGTAAATGGGTTAAATTACCACCTAGCCTTAATTACGAGACTCAACCCCTACTCTTATTCACTAATCGACTGGTATTATCCCTAAAGATGTGTGTGTGTGTGTGTGTGTGGGGGGGGGGGGTGTACAGTCTTACCCCTCTTGTGGCCAGCCAGTCATTCCGCCATGACCGTGTTTTGTGGTATTGACCTCTCATTGTCATCATGGTGTTTACAGTAAGAATCATATAATCTTTATGATATTATATTACGTGGGCTTGAACAAATACATACACACACACACACACACACACACACACACACACACACACACACACACACACACACACACACACACACACACACACACACACACTCGAACTTAGATCTCTTTCTCATGACATAACTCAAGGGGTTCACGTCCTTATAACTCACTTAGGTAAGGCATCAGTGTCCCTCACCACAAGAACCAACATTCTTCACATTCAAATCTAATTTAGTAAAATCTTCCTACATCTTTACATTGGTTCAGTATGAGTAGAAATATTTCAGACACACTATAGAGAACGCGTCTAGTTATACAGTAGAATAAAGTTTTAGTGCAACATCGTCACAATTTTCAAAATTGTTGTGTGTAGTTGCTTCAGTGGGCCATTTCTGAATAAGGGCCAAAATTGAATGCCTACAGTCACATTCTCAATGATATTATCTGCCAAGGCTCTCTCTCTCTCTCTCTCTCTCTCTCTCTCTCTCTCTCTCTCTCTCTCTCTCTCTCTCTCTCTCTCTCTCTCTCTCTCCATCAATTTCTTAGTCTCTCTTTTTATCCTACAGTACATCACACCTTCATCACACAAATTATCATACCATAATCACCGCCCTCACGACTCTCGCCCTGCGCCTGTAAGTCTGAGCCGGTGCTCCCTAACGCAACTACGTCAACACATCTGGCTTCGTGAAGTTGATTGGGCGCCAATATATAGAGAGGTAATTGCTTGCACACTGTATGTCACCTATGCTGTCTTATGGTGTTGTAGCCACGTGATCTTAGTACCTTGTGGCTTATGAAGTGGGTTGAGTTTTAATGGTTATCTGAGTGGGCAGGAAGACAAGTTATCTGAGTTGCCAAGAAGACATTTTCTGAGTGCCCTGGAAGATATGTTATCTGAGTGGCCAGGAAGATATTTTATCTAAATGGGCAGATAATCATGTTATCTGAGTGACCAGGAAAACATATTATCTGAGGGGCCAATAAAAACCATCAGGAGAGAAGGGAAGACAGCAAGACTACTCCCCATCCTCCCAAAAGTAAAAACTAAATAAATTAAAACACACAGAAAGGATCCACTCCTCCTCTCCGTGTCCACAAAACCACCAAAGTACAGGACAACGTTATCTAATTTGTCCTCATGAAACTCATTTTAACATTAGTACAGACATATTTACGACTTCTCCTGCCTTAACGTGGGTTCCTCACCGCCATCACAAGAGAGACGGTCGTGTCGTATCTCAGGAAGGAGGAGAGACAGTGCAGGTGTGATAAGGTAGTGTGAGGTGGAGAGATGGAGGGAGGGAGGGGTGAGCGCTGGCCCCCGTGTACAGGCAGGTGACTAATGGTGGCCCAGCCGAGGGTGAAATCAATAATGCGTATATGAGGGACAATTACTGCAGGGATAGCTACTGCGGCTTGAACAATAGCACGGGGGGAGGGGTTACTATTTTTTTTATACTGACACACACACACACACGCACACGCACACGCACACACGCACACACACACACACACACACACACACACACACACACACACACAAGATACTTACGTCACTTAATTTGTATGAATTTTCAGAACACCGGAAACATATATCAATAATATACCGAATATACATCTAAGAAAAAAACTATCAGGATCTTGGAAAAGTTTTAATTGAAATCAAAATAAAATCGACTCTTATTATACCCAAAATACCACACATTCACCATGATGAAAAACACACCACGTACCCCCACAATAATCAAGAACAAACAAACCCTCGTATTGGAAACCCGACAAAACCAGACACAATCAACATTCACGCTTCATTTGCAAGATTACCCTCCGTGTGCTCCCGTGTTGCACCACATTGCAACAATTTCTCATGGAACTCAACACCAACTGCCGAAATCGTGACAAAACTGAAAATCCACGGCCTGAAAATTGTCAGAAAATACAGCTAAGATCTGCATGACTTTGTATGTATAATCAGCTGCCGTATCTAGTGAATAATGAAGAGAAAAGTGGAGTAGCTGTGGTGCTGTGAGGGCAGTAGAGGAGTGTTTACTGTGGTGCTGTGAGGGCAGTAGAGGAGTGTTTACTGTGGTGCTGTGAGGGCAGCAGAGGAGTGTTTACTGTGGCGCTGTGAGGGCAGTAGAGGAGTGTTTACTGTGGTGTTGTGAGGGCAGTAGAGGAGTGTTTACTGTGGTGTTGTGAGGGCAGTAGAGGAGTGTTTACTGTGGTGTTGTGAGGGCAGTAGAGGAGTGTTTACTGTGGTGCTGTGAGGGCAGAAGAGGAGTGTTTACTGTGGTGCTGTGAGGGCAGAGGAGTGTTTACTGTGGTGCTGTGAGGGGCAGTAGAGGTTTACTGTGGTGTTGTGAGGGCAGTAGTGTTTACTGTGGTGCTGTGAGGGCAGCAGAAGAGTGTTTACTGGTGTTGTGAGGGCAGCAGAAGAGTGTTTACTGTGGAGCTGTGAGGGCAGTAGAGGTGTTTACTGTGGTGTTGTGGCAGAAGAGTGTTTACTGTGGTGCTGTGAGGGCAGTAGAGGAGTGTTTACTGTGGTGTTGTGAGGGCAGTAGGAGTGTTTACTGTGGTGCTGTGAGGGCAGTAGAGGGGTGTTTGCTGTGGGGCTGTGAGGGCAGAAGAGGTGTTTACTGTGGTGTTGTGGGGGCAGTAGAGGAGTGTTTACTGTGGTGCTGTGAGGGCAGCAGAAGGTGTTTACTGTGGAGCTGTGAGGGCAGTAGAGGAGTGTTTACTGTGGTGTTGTGAGGGCAGCAGAAGAGTGTTTACTGTGGTGCTGTGAGGGCAGTAGAGGTGTTTACTGTGGTGTTGTGAGGGCAGTAGAGGTGTTTGCTGTGTGCTGTGAGGGCAGTGAGGAGTGTTTGCTGTGGAGCTGTGAGGGCAGAAGAGGTGTTTACTGTGGTGCTGGGGCAGTGTGGCATGGTGCTGTGAGGGGCAGTAGAGGTGTTTACTGTGGTGTTGTGAGGGCAGTAGAGGAGTGTTTACTGTGGTGTTGTGAGGGCAGTAGAGGAGTGTTCTGTGGTGTTGTGAGAGTGACCAGAAGAGGAGTGTTTACTGTGGTGCTGTGGGGCAGAAGAGTGTTTATTGTGGAGCTGTGAGGGCAGTAGAGTGTTTACTGTGGAGCTGTGAGGGCAGTAGAGGAGTGTTTACTGTGGTGCTGTGAGGGCAGTAGAGGAGTGTTTACTGTGGTGCTGTGAGGGCAGTAGAGGAGTGTTTACTGTGGTAGAAATATTAAAAAATTAAAACAAATAATTCACGTGATGAAAAATATACCAGTTTCTATATTATGTAAAATGTGTGTGTGTGTGTGTGTGTGTGTGTGTGTGTGTGTGTGTGTGTGTGTGTGTGTGTGTGTTTACATATTTATACGTATTAGTTTTAATGAGTAACTCCAGTATGACCTTAACCGATAATAATTAACCCACTATCATCACCTGAACCATGCTAAAATACAATACACACACACAAACTATTGAACTCTTTAAAACGTGTAAATAACCACTATAATATAATCCATTTAAAACACACATTATTCTCATTCATTTATTATAATTCCCAATGAAATATAAATACATATATTACACAAATGTTTAAATATATACAAAATTACCATATGAATTATTTATGTATAGTGTATGATTATATTATGTATATGTATATTTGTATACTGTATTTGTTTTGGAATGGTAAAATTTATACAACAATAACAACAATAATGCTGTTTATATATATATTATGGTAATATGGGCAGGTATAAATGTGCACATAAAAGGGTTAATTGACAGGTATTTTCTCACTGGCAGGTACGAGACATCGACACAGCTGGGTGATTCAACAGGACGGTAATATAACTGTAGCTTTAATTGTGTCTTTATTTTGCTTGGAGAGAGAGAGAGAGAGAGAGAGAGAGAGAGAGAGAGCAAACAAGGAAAATAAATGAAATACTTGACAACGTAAATAGGATCAACAAAATAATAAAGAATAAGAGAGAAAAAGCCAAGAGCGGTAAGCAGAGCCCTGATGGGGAGGAGGAGGAGGAGGAGGAGGAGGTGAGCCATGAGGGGGGAGGAGGAGAAGCCTGAGGAGGAGGAGGGCCATGAGGGGAGCAGAAGGAGGAGGAGACCCCGGACGAGGAGAAAGAAGAAATGAGGAAGAGGAAGAAGTGAGTCATGAGAGGGGAGAAGGAAGACAGAGAACCATGAGGAAGGAGGAGGGTGGAGAAGGAGAAGAGACCTGAGTGGGGGAGGAGAAAGAAGGAGAGCCCAGATGGGTGGGGGGGTGAAGAAGGAAGAGAGCCCTTACTACTTTGTTAGGTCAAGTAGGTCCGGTAATTGGTCTCAAGAGTCGTCAAGTGGCTCAGGTTAAGTGGTGTTGGATTAAAGGGGTTTAGTATGGTCCCGTCAGGAAGGTAAGGGTATAGGACACATTTGAAGGGGTAAGTAGGGCTTGTTTGAAGGGGTAAGTAGAGCTTGTTTGAAGGGGGTAAGTAGGCTCCATTTGAAAGGGTAATATAAATTTGAAGGGGTGAGTAAGATGCGCTTGAAGGGGTAATATTAGGCTGAAGGGGTAAGTTAGTAGGGTCCATTTGAAAGGGTTAAAGGGTTCATCTTATACGGAACAATGGAACGTACTTAAAAGGCATAAATGGCGTCCGTACAGGTAATAAAGGCGTTCGTGTTTAAGTGGGTTGTAAGGCTGGATTAAATGGGTTAGTTAGATTAAGTTGTAAGGATTAGTAGCGTCCTCGTTAAAGGGTTTAAAGGTGCTTGTGGTGATTCTTAATTATCTTCCCTCTCATTTCTTTCTCATCGCTATTGTATACATCATTCTCTCATTTTCCTCCCTCTATCTCTCCGTTCCTCTCTTCCTCACTATACTCCTCTCTTCCTTCGTTCCTTCTTCCCTCCTTCCCTCCCTTCGTCTCTCCCTTACCTTCATCCTCCTTCCTCCTTCACTCCCTCCTTCCTTTACCTCCTCCCTACCACCCTCCCTCATTTTACTTCTCCCTTCCTCCTTCCCGTCCTCTCTCCTCCCTCACTGTCCTCTACCTCCTCCCTTCCACTTTCCCTAACCTTCATCTCCATTCCTCCTCCTCTCCCTCTCTCTTCGCTTCCATTCCTCCTCCTCTCCCTCTCTCTTCGCTTCCATTCCTCCTCCTCTCCCTCTCTCCTTCTCTGCACCACCAGTCTCCTTCCTCTCTCCCTCCCTCTTCCCCTTCTTTTATTCAATACTTCCTTGGTAAATGAAAGAGTGAGTGAGACAGAAATAATAACGAGGAAGTGTGTGTGTGTGTGTGTGTGTGTGTGTGTGTGTGTGTGTGTGTGCGAGGACTGAGTTTATGTATACACACTTCATTACAGCAAACCAGCATAATGAATTCCAAATTACAGTGCATTACAGAGTTCATTACAAAACATAATCTAAGACCACCTTATTTTCGGGTTGTGTTGTCATTTGGTCTTTATATGGTCTTCGTCGTCAATATTTCTGTCTGCCTATCTCTGTCTTCCTGTCTCTCTGTCTGTCTCTCGGTCTTCCTACCTGTCTTTCTCTTTCTCTCACAAGATACAGTTGTCTAAGATGGGCCTCGCTGTTCAAGTCTTTGTCAGAGTGAGAGTTTGCGTCAACGCTTTTAAGTCTTAGTTGCAGTTGAGTCTTATCCGAGTGGGTATTTAAGAAGGTGGGCAGGTTAGGTTAGGTTAGGAAGTTTCAGTTGGTTTTATCTCTCTCTCTCTCTTTCTCTCTTTCTCTTTATTTTTTCTTTCCCCTTCTCTTTCTATGTTCTTCCTTTATCTGCCTCTTTCTTTTCTTCCTCAGGATTTCAGGTTTAAAGATTCGTCTCTAAATGATCTCCCTCTCCCTCTCCCTCTTTATCCCTCTCCCTCTTCCTCCCTCTCCCTTTCCCCAACTGAACGTCACCGCTCGTAGTGACATTAACATAACCAAGAACAGTAATACATTATGTTAATTGAAAGAAAAATGTACACTCTCTCTCTCTCTCTCTCTCTCTCTCTCTTGTTACTTGCGCCTTTCTTCCTCCGAGAGATTAATGTCAAAAAGTAAAAAGAAACTAGGAAATAATTTGAGACAACAAAAACACCGAGACTTTCTTGGCAGTCGTCCATGAACGTATTGGAGGGGGGGAGGAGGAGGAGGAGGAGGAAGAGGAGGGTAAGAAGAGGGAGGAGGAAGAAAAGGAGAATGAGAGAAGAAGGTAAAGAGGAATCGAGTGAGGGAGGTGGGAAGGGAGAAATGGGAAGCAGAAAGAGGGAGGGGGAAGGGGGAATTGTAACGATTTAAAGAGCGGAAGGAATTTTGTTGGGAGGCGAAGGAAGGGGAGAAAAGGGAGATGGAATGAAGGGGGGACTGTAATAATATAGAGAAGAGGAAGGATTTGACAGGAGAATAACAGAGGTGTGGGTAAGGAGAGAGGAAGAGGAAGAAAAGAAGGAGAGGCGGTAAAGGTACAGAGTTAGTGGGAAAGGTGGGAGGGGTGAGAGAAGAGGAGGTGGGATACTTTAAGGGTTAATAAAACATGGAGGGAGGGAAGGAATAGGAGAGATTGTGATAAAGGATGACAATGAGAACCATGTAAGGGGCCATGTAAGAGGAACTAAAGGAAAAGTGAGAGAGGGAGGATGGGAAAGGGAAGCCAGTAACCCGAAGGCTCACAATACATTTTATGACTTCGAGAAAAAATATATGACGGTGTGAGGGTGTTGTTGTTCCTGTTCTGGCCAATATATATATATATATATATATATATATATATATATATATATATATATATATATATATATATATATATATATATATATATATATATATATATATATATATATATATATGTAACTAAATATCTCGTCTTTTAATTATTGATTTTAAAATTTTGAAGAAGAAATCACTTAGAGATCCCAATAGAGTCAGGTGTTTCTGCTTCCTGATCCCTGATTAGCATTACTTTCAGTCTTTACAACAGATAAATTGACGTAGAGAGACAATTGGACAGTGTCCTTGTCTGCCCGGGGTAAATGATATGTTTACAATACCCGGTGTGATGACTCATACAATGGTGCCTCAGTAAATGCTTCATATACCCGTGTTGTTTCAGTCATCCGGATCAGATTGATTCATACAACTCTGAAAAGTCTCATCTTGTCTGCTTCGTTGAACTTAAACTCTGAAATCGAGTCAAAACGTCCTGAAACATTTTGTTTTTCTTGTTTACCCAACATTATTTGGAAAATATAAGATTTATGTCAATACGTGTCATAACAAGTAGTGAATTCAGATTTTCCTCCTCTTAATTCACAGTTGGTTCAATTAGTTTTTAAGAAGATAATGTCGCAAGTTCATTTCCACCGAAGACTACGTTAATCTATAAAGCATTGAAACCCCAAATCTGCTAAAATGAATGATATGTCAGCCTTACAAGAAACAGTGATAGAGTATTCCATCTCTAGAGTGAATGATTGATCATGACATTTAGTGAACAAGTTGCCTGAGTCCTAACCGCTCAATTATTACAGAAACTCATGACTTGCTTGTATATACTCGAGGTCACAGGTCTAAATCAGTCAGAGGTCAGTGTCCTCATTTGAGACGGGCAATCACACACGCCCCGCCTCGCCAAGGTGTAAATGGCCACCTGTCTTCCCTAGAGAATATATCGCTGGTCCTGAGACACACTGTACCTCCAGTTTAGGTTTCACTCCAGTGCTTGTCTGTGGAGCTCCAGGGTGTAGATCAGAGTTACTGTATGACTGAGTGTTGGTCTTATATATGATGACAGTCAAACCTTTGTTCTTTGATAATTTTCACAAAGCGTTTAGCGTTTTGTTTTGGACGTGTTTTATTTGGTATGAAGAGATAATGCTTTCTCTGTCTCCTCGCCCATTTTATATCATTATTCAATCTACTTATTCCCATATTTTTATTCCTTGTACTTCATCTTCGTTTATTGATAAAAATAACTCTGTTTGCCTTAGACTGCCAAGTCCGTGTGGTAAAGATCTAAGTCACTCTGGAGACTCACATTCAAGAGACACTATTCCACCATGACACAGAATGTTTCCAGTTCCACGTAAAGATATACTTCCGTTCGCTTCCTTTCATTTATCTTACAAAAAATAAATAAAATTCATAATAAAATTAAGATATATTTTTTACTCTTCTTTAGTTAGAAAATTATTATGTTCTTAAGTATTCTAAATTAAATGAACCACCTTAGATGACTTTCAGAGTTAGGAGACACCTCTTAACACCTGTCATGGCGTTACAGGTATAAATCATTAATGAAGAACCTCCACCAGGTAACCTCCAGAGCCTTGGTCCATTAGACGCGCTCGTGTATTATTGGTGGTAATTTTGGGGTCTTGAGAAGGATGTTCTTATTGCTTAGAAATTCCTGCATTTTATTAGATTTTTCTTATTTATTTATATTATTTCTTGGTATGAAACTTTAGTGTTTGTGGAGAGAGAGAGTCAAGGTTTATGTTAATGAGACCTGCAGGTAACATTCTGGAGGAGGCACCCTCACATCTCGCCCTCACCTGTATGGCTTTGGCTCTACTTTACGAGGCTATCAGGTGTGGTGTTCACTGTTAGTATTTCGAGTAATTAATAAAAGATAACAGCGAATTATATTGACCAATCACATACCTTCATAACTGTGATGTTACCAATGCTGCACTAGGGCATTGGTAGTTGTGTGGGCAATTATTGCTTTGGAACGTGTATGACATGAGAGTCTTGGAAGCAAGTGATTGGCCAATGGAAATGCACAGTGTTCTGACGTGACATGATACAGTCCAGAAGATGTGTCGTGACTGGCTGAGAGCTA